GGCACCCAGCGAACATGACGCAAAGGCCGCTGATGGACTTCCGATCCGCCTCGTTCGCGAAGTCTGCGTCGCAATACGCGGAGATGTGTAGGCCATTGTCGGAGTTGGTGGCGTTGATGTTCAGCCCTTGAGTCTTGGTTCCTTTGAGGTATCGAAGCACGCGCTTTGCTTGTTTCCAATGTGTCTCATAGTAGGATCCAAGGAACTTGCTGAGATTCCGCACTGCGTTGGCGATGACAGGACGTGTGGCCGTGACCAAGTATTGCAGGCTCCCGACAAGCTCGCGGTAAGGAATGCCTTGACGGTCGACTTCAAGTGGCGCCTTGGTTGTGGGTTTGAGCACGTGTCCGACGACTTCTGGTGTTGCCACGGGATGGCAGTCGTGCATGTTGAACTTGTCGAGTAACGTGTCAATGTAATGTTCTTGTGATAAACTGACTTGTTTGTTCTTGATTTCGACCTTGATACCGAGGATGAAGCTGAGCTGGCCAAGGTCGGTCATCTTGAATTTTGACTTCAGTTGATTGCACGTTTCTTTGATTGCTTCGTCATCGTTGCCCGTGATGGTGAGGTCATCAACATATACACTCAACAGTACGAGCACTTTTCCCACCCTGTTGGTGTAGATGCACGCCTCCTTGACGCACGCCTCCTTGACGCAGCGGACAAAGCCAATGGACTGGAGGTATACGTGCAGCGTCAAGTACCAACAGCGAGGCGCTTGCTTCAGGCCGTAGATACTCTTCACAAGTTTGCACACCTTGGTTTCGTGGCCTTGCTCAACAAAATGGGGTGGCTGTGCCATGTAGATCTCGGTTTGCTCGTCGAGGACGCCGTTCAAAAAGGCGGTCTTGACATCCATTTGGCGGATCTTCCAGCCGTGGCGAGAGACAAGGCAAAGAATCAGGCGTAAAGCGTTCATTCGGAGCACAGGTGCGAAGATTTCCACGTAGTCGATGCCGTACTTCTGCATGAACCCTTTTAGGACCAAGCGGGCCTTGAGTTTGTCCAGCTTGCCAACCGCATCGAACTTCATCTTCCAGATCCATTTGCATGGGAGCGCTTTTCGCCCAGTCGGTAAGTCTGCCAAGACCCACGTGACATTGGACTTCAGCGAGTCAAATTCTTCTTGTGTGGCTGCAAGCCAGGCATCACGATGTTGACTTTTGTAGATGTCCGCAAACGATTTTGGCTCCTCCTTTTCCACGGTCAACGCTTCAAGTGCGTAGGCATGTCCACTCGAGATTGCTTCGAGGCCCTGGGGGTCCAACGCATCGATGAGGTCTGGCTCGTTGGTGTGGCCGGACATGAACATGTCGGTGTCGTCGTCTTGTCCGGGTCGATCCACAGGCTCGTGCGTCTCATTGGGGTCCAACGCGGTCGTCGCGGGAGTGGAGTCGTGCACGGGATCCTACAATGCTACTGCTGGGTGGTGCCACGTCGATGACTCGTCGTGATCTGTTGATGCTATGTCACTACCAGGTAGGTTCGTGTCTTGGCCAGGGTCACCCCTGTTGTCCATGCTATCCGGTTCTAGATCGCTTGGGTCGAATACGTCGAGTTCCACAGAGTCGCTAATTGTGTCCATGATGTTTGGGGACGAGGGACATGGAAGGCACGACGCAGTGGAACCTTGAAAGTCTTCGAGGAACTTGACCGATCGACAGTCAAAGACATCCCCAGTTTCGAAGTCCAACAGTCGGTAACCTTTACGATTGTGTGAATAACCAAGGAGGGTGCACTTCGTAGCTCTGAGTTCGAGCTTCGTTCGTTTCGCCTTGTCAATGAACGCGAACGCAGTACATCCCCAGGGGCGCAGGTGACGCACGTCTGGCTTGCGGTCGTACAGTGCTTCGAATGGTGTCCGGCCACCGAGTGCCTTGGTAGGACTTCGATTTTCCGTGTACACGACGTAGCTGAGCGCCTCACCCCAGTAGCGAAAGTCAAGTCCAGCTTCTTGAATGATGCATCTGACCTTGTTCATCAACGTGTAGTTTGGCTTTTCGGCAATGCAGTTCTCCTCGGGCGAGTAGACGTTTGTGTACAGTTGCTCGATGCCATGTCGATCACAGTGCGACTTCAGCGCAGAACTGAGGTATTCCTTCGCGTTGTCGGTGATGACTGTCTTGAGTTGTGCCCCAAACTGACGTTCTACGAGAACTTGGAACTTGGGAAAGCTGATTGCCGTCTCGGATTTTGCCTTCATTAGGTACACCCACTTGAACCGAGTTGCTTCGTCAACATACAATTCGTAGTGGCGACTTCCACCGAACGTCGGCGGGGTAATTGGACCACCCTTGTCAATGTGCACACGCTCGAGTGGCAGCTTCGCGCGGTACGGTGCCGTGTTGCGGTAGCTCATCCGGCGTGCCTTGGCCAGCATGCATGTCTCACAGTCGAACGTCTCCTTCAAGTCGCTGTCGCTGAGACTTGGTCCAATGATGACGCCATTGGCAATGGCTTGCTTCAGCGCGCGCTGGTTGCTTGTCTGTTCGTCCTGGTAGTCTTGCTCGACGTCCTCCTGGCGGTCGTCATCTGCTTCCACATCGTGGAATACCACTTCGGCTGCGTGTACGTCCATTGTTCGACGTGGAACTGTTGTGCTGGCTGCTGCACGAGCAAATGCAGCGATGATTGGCGATGGTGACGTTAAAGCCTCAAGGGTGCCCAACGCCATTACCATTTCAGAAAATTGAAATCTGCACTATTTCTCCACCACTCAAATCAAGAATTTGCCATCACATATATTAGTGTGGACCGCACTAATTTTGAATCCGCACTAATTTCCAATCCGTACTAATTACGGTAAACGGTGTACCACTTTTGAGTTGAGATAGCACAAAATAAATACTCTATAAATCTACAAGCCCGTGCACCATCACATGTATACACTTGTATGAACTACGAAGAGCATCTTAGGCGGCGTCTGACGCCGCAGCTTAGTCGGCCGCGCCTAGAAGTACATCCGGCCGGAGTTGTACCAGTGGCTGATCAACGTTATATTAGTAGTACCAGATATTGTGCTTTTCATGTAATTTGCCAGTTCTTTACTACAGCTGTTAACTGCGTTAAACAACCAGGCGTTTAAAATAATATAAGCCTGATTGACTGTGAAGATAAAACAACGCTAAACCCAAGTTCTGCATTTCAGCAGAATAAAACAACCCTTACTTTATTTCAGCCGCTAACTAATCGAGTTGCAGCACCAGGCCAACTTACGCAGAGCAACCACCAGTTCATCACAATGCATACCGTATTAGAGCATCTCCACCGCGCCAGTAAATTGGCCAATCAGTAAATCTGTGTGCTGATTTAAAATAACGTTATACTGAAATATTTTCGCACCGCACCAGTATCCGGTTCAGTACTTTGCTGACCAGCAAATATTCCAGTAAAAGTCACACAGATTTGATGGTTTCGGGGTTTCAGTATCCGGTAATAGTGGCCGGATAGAGACATCGGTGCATAAACACGGAGCAGAGAAGCCTCAGGGTCGGTGATGGCATAGGTCGAGGTGCAGTTGTGGCGGCCCTGGCACGGTACCATATGTATGCCGCAGTCAATAACTTATGACTTGTGGTGATGACTCTTGCGGCGTAGGTCAGTTGCGGCCGATAGCGCATTCGCCTGCGGTCGATGCTGCCTTGATAAGTTTACTGTTAGGCGGCAGCATCGACCGCAGGCGAATGCGGCCGGTTTTTGTTTTCGTCGGTCCGAGGCCGATCCTGCCGTGGTTGGCGGTGTCTGTCTTGCGCAGGGCGAGGTTGCATGGCTTGCCGCGTTGGCGAGAGTCGTGCGGCAGTCGGTGGGTATGTCTTCGCGGCCGGTAGCCGTGTTTATAATATTGCAGGACCCATGCCATCGATTACACGACAGGACCCGCGCCATTGACTGCTGCATTACCAAGGACAATAGCGCGGGTCCTATCGAGCTGACAGATGCCTATTATGTCTGTATATCACCGTACTCCGTTTACTAGTTCACGAGAAACTAGAGTTGACGCCATTCCTGGTGATAAGGATATACAGTGCTGTACATATGCATGCATGTTGCGCACCATTGCGTGCCATTCCTGGAGATAAGCATACCTCATAGTCGAAATTAACGCGGGTTTCCACTCAGGCTGGTCGAATGATGGTGATGAATTTACTGGCTGGAGTTGGGCTTTTTGCGGTGCGAATTATCCTGAATTACAGCCCATTACAATACTGGAGGTTGTTATCCGAACACTATGCGGATATTGGTGTGTTAGGATGTGAAATGGGAGTCGTACAGTGTACTATTAATAGTACACTGTATCCGCATTCACAGTCAAACGAGGGGTGAAGTCAGGTAGGGAAGGTTGGAATTCTGTTGTCGTCGACTGTCGAAGGCTTTCGAATGGCGGTGTCCAATTTGGACACCTCGATTACGACCCACACTGCACGGTCGTCTTATTCGACGAAGAAGTATTAGGTATGCTTCTACTGTAACTCATCATGCTCTTTAAGCTCGCTCTTCATGCTCCCTACGACACCTGATTTCGTCACTTGCGCCATGGGCTCTCCGTTGACAATTCGTGACTGGCGCTGCTTGTATTAGTATTTCTATGCCTTGGAATAGATTGCGATGATTGGGTATTTTCATCGTCACATGGGTGGACTCCACCAACTTCAAGTTGCTTTTGTATTGTGATCGGAATTCGTAGGAGGCGTTTTCGGTGAAATGCATTTTAACCAATTACAATAAGGCACATATTTGATTGGGCAGATTTCACTTTACATTTTGCAACGAAGGAAATTGTGCTGGCATGTATGAATGGTCACGAACTGTTGGCCAAATGACGAGGTAATATATGTTGGGACTACAAACTACATACTAGTGCATCCTATATTGACGCTTAGGCACGAAGAGGTCGTTTATTGCGCTTCTGGTACGGTCTTTGGTTTGCCGGTGGCTCCATTTGACGAACCAATCTGGCGGCGGTCGAAACACGGAGCTGGCCACAGCGTCTTGTTCGCTTCTTTGTCGTTGTCAACCGAATTGGGTCCAACAGACGGCTTGCAATGGTAAACGAGGCAAGAAGCTCCTCGGGGCTTGCCGTGGCGTTGGGGCCGTTACCATGTTGAGCAGTGTAGTATGACGACAGCTTTCCCATAATATACTTCCATTCGTAAAATTCTTTGCACTCGGACTTTAACGACAAATCACGAGTGCAAATTTTACGGAATGGAGGCACCTTTTGGGATGGATTACCTCGCCACCATAAACTCCATGTTGTGCCCAAGTCCACACTTGGGAACTTGAAGTCCTTATGTAGCATATGCAACTGACCACCCCAATGGTGTACAGGGTAGTCAGAGGCAAGTTCATCGGCATGCGGCCGATGTGGATTTGACACAGCACGCGCGACGTCAACAACATCAGCGATGGCCTTTGTAAGAGTGCTTTCAAAGAATTCCCGAGTGACGTTGCCGGTAGCGAGTCCCTTTTCGTCCACAATTTCTCGAACTCCAGACAGTACAATGCTCGAGATGTCTTGGATTGATTTTTGGTTTTTATCGAGTTGACGCATCAACTCGACATGGGGAGGGATGCCAGATGCCACGAGACACTGCGACTCGAGCCCACAAATTACAAACAAACGAAGAGATGCCGCTAATCCGGGTTCTACGAACAAGGCGGTGGACAAAAGGGGATGGTTGGGTTGCAGATGGGCCACGAGAAAGTCGTAATGGTATACCAAGCTCGCCAAAAGGAGGCGCAGGACGCCAGACATGTGGTCGTGATGTGCAAAATTTGGAAACAATACTGAGATTGTTTCCAAAACCAGAGGGTTTGGTGCTACAGCAAAATGTGGGGGCAACATGGACAAATCAGCACTGTTGATAGGCAATCCGCACTGTTGATAGGCAATCTGGCGACTACGCGACCAGTAAACTGGTCACCGGCAGCCTCGTAGCGAAAGTAACGTTCCATAACGTTCCCCAAGGACCACCCACACCGCAAGCACACACTCACAATAGACGGACCACCAGTGCTCCCAGAGGACACAAACGTGGCTGCTCCTTTTCGAATAGAGTGCGTCCCAATGTCGTTTGGCTTTTTTCCACCATGTGGAGTTGACAGCATCCTCGCAAGGCTTTTGCCAAATCGGTCCTAATATATCATCGATGAGAATTACTACTACGTAGTAATAACTATATCGGGAACTTATATCTAAATTACTAATAGCTATTAAATACATAACTTTATTTCTCGAATAGAATAGTAACTATAAATTTATATATTTCTTTCTTGAATAAAATAATTACTACGTTGTACCTTTTGCTTGGCTCCAGGAAACAGATTGCTTGGCAATATTTGGGAATTACAAGCCAAATAAATTGCCAATGCCAAAAAGACACACACCTGGGGCTTCAAAGGGTTTGCAAAGCAATGCTTCGGGTCCTTATTTTTCGTTCCTACGACATGAATTAACTAACATATACTAAAATATATGTATATAACAACGTTACCCTCTTGTGACGTCTTCGTTTTATGAAACACGATTCCAATTGAATCGTCCTCGCATGAAATGTGCTCAAATCTGCATTTTACTAAAAAATCAGCTAAAACTCGCATAATGAACCCGAGCTGAATTTACCGGATTGTCTCCGTTGATTTTGATCGACACATCAAATTCCATGACAATATGAGGTAGACATGCGTGAACCTGCAATCAGGCAGGCCCATGCTGATCGAACAGAGGTGCTCAAACAACGAAAACGTCATTGGCTTCTTGCCCGTGAACTCCTTGCTGCCACTTTGTAAGTCTTGGGCTACTGTCTTCCGAATACCTACACACTAGCATTAGGGAAGGTGCAAACCAGTATTAAAAAGTTACCAGAGAAAATGACTTTAATATCGATGTTGTATGGTTCAGGCAAGGGAACACCTTGGTCGATGTACAGACTCTTGATGGCGCTGCGATAACCGCTGAGCGCGCCCATTCCGACTTCACGTTCTCGCACGGTCCAGACGATGAACTCTAAAAAGTTCTCGAATCCAAACACGCGGAGGTCCAAGGTCTCGTCGTGCCCGTCCGTCTCAGGGGATGGCATCAGCAGCTCCGGCTTCCCGGACGTCAGAGCCCAAAGGACAACTTGCCGTATCCCGGACTTGTAACCGAGGCGCGTGCTTGCTGATATGCGGTTGCGCCGCGCTCCTTCGATGGTGAAAGTACTGTTGGTGCTGCTCATGTTGCTGAATGGGTGTCACTTTACTTTCTATTGGATGACGATATTTCATTTTTAAGGAATATGGTTGGCACATGATTTCGTAGGAGCAGCGCCCCTACGATATCGTGTTTTTTTTTTTCAGCACAAATCAAAATATAAAATATTTCAATACAAATACCAGCATAATTTTATTCCTGACTAACAAATTGTAATGGACAAACTGAATTCGTAGGAGAAATGTTCCTATTATTAATCCAATTCTCCTATAAAATTCCTACGTATTTCAACTTATGATTACTACGTAGTATTAACAGTAAAAACCAAAAGCACATCGTGAGGTGCTTCTGGTTTTCGTGACGAAGGTCTTATCATACCTGATAGACATACTAGGGGCTGCGGACCTTCGAAAATAAAAATTGATTTTTTTTCCTAAATTGACTCTCCCTATTAAGGACAGTCAAAATACCGAACAGTTTTGAGCTGACGTCACTACACCCATGTGTTCCATGTCGTTACGCCTTGTCGAAAGGCCAATCGAAGGTCCGCAGCCCTTAGTGTGTCTATCAGGTATGATAAGACCTAGTGCGATCGAGCTGCTTGGTATGCTGCCAATTCACTTGAGGCTCGATGTTTTGGTCATTTCCCGCCCTCTTGGTTGAAGTGTGTTGTTTTCCGTGTGCGGGACACACAAACACGACGATGAATATGTGAGATACCCTTGTAATCGCCTACGGTAGTTAGTTGTTAAGTCATGAACTTGAGATAAATACAACTACCCGACGGGTTTGGTACGCGCACTGCATGAGCACAACATCGGGTTCGTAAGGTTGGGGTTGATATATAGTGTGGCCATGTTGCCATTGTTGTCTTGCGCTGGTGTTCGCAACGGTGACCCCGATGACAAATCCAAAAGTAACTTCATTATCCAGTCAATCAGTCAGTTCACACCTTTCACTTCACTACTCTCTACAAGTCATGCATTGTACAGTGTACCATCAGCTCGGAACATATGCCTCTCCAGATCCAGGTCATATGTTACACTCTTCAAATGTCGTCCTTGACCAACATTCGACTACCCACACATAGGGACGGAGAGGCTCGGCCGATAACCTTCCCCCCTACATCGGGTGACCACATGCACTCGTGAGATCGTCCATCATTTCGCTCACGCCGTCTTCGTTGCTCCGGGTCTTGGTCCAGCGACCGAATAGCACAGGAACGTCTTCGTAGTTCGATAGGGCCGGTTCCCAGGACAACATCAGATCGTCCAGACTAAGCCACTTGATCAGGACTTCCCAGACCCCGTCTCGCAAACGCAGGTCCCGGAGGCCGTGCACGTAAAAAACTTCATTACCGAACGCAGTTTGGGCCTTCAAATCTATATTGACTTCACGTCCGCCTTCACAGTACAAGCGGAGCCGGCACGCATGATTCAGGGACGTCTCCGCGATACTCCAGCTGCTGGACTTCCATCAGGCAGTCAGATATCACCTTTACGACCCGGAAGGGTCCTTTCCAACGCAACATTAGCTTTCCTGGATGCTAGAGAGCCCGGGCCACCAAAACAAAATCGCCCAACGCAAATTTCACCAGCTTTTCAGAACGTTGACCATCCAGACGGTACCGGGCCTTACCGTGTTTTACTGCGGCCGTCTTTGCCACCTGCTTGTGCATAACTCTCGGAGCATCTGCAAGCTCAGCCACGTGGCGTATCGTCCGGGACTTAATCCATCGATCGTTACCTCCCGGGGCTCGTCCGGGTGGACCAGTCCGGTTAGGGGAGGTGTAGCAGGCAGGCCCGTAAACGCCGTCGTTGGCGATATGCCATCCAAACGGTCGACTGGCTGCTGACTGGGCAGACTGTCCAGGAGTAACACCCCCTGCCAGTCTCTGGGTTGCAAGCGCATCTCGCTGCACAGAGTCTTTAGGGTCCGGACGTCGATTCGGTTCACCATCTCATGTGTCCCGTTGGCCCAGTGTGGTGTGACAAAATGGTGATAAACACCAAACATACGACCCAGGGTACTGACCAGTTCGTTCTTGAAATGGGACCCAGAGTCGGATACCCAGGTCCTGACCACCCCGAACAGTACAAACCATTCCATCAACGCCGCGACCGTCTCTGCTGCAGACGCTGTAGTACTGGCATGCAGCCAAATGAACCCGCTCATGTCATCCTTGATGACCAGGATGTATTTCAGACCCCCCGGAGCCTCCGGGAGCGACAGCCAATCGAAATGAATCAATTCATTTGGCTTCGTTGCATGCAGCGCTTCACCCCAGGGACGGGGTACCGACTCACCGTCGGCCACCATACAATGCAGGCCCAGGCAGTGACGAAGTTCTTCACGTCGGTCTTCAGGGAAGGCCAATCAAACATCTCAGCAACAGATGCGATCGTCGCTTCCACTCTCCGGTATCCCGCCACGCCGGCATACATATACGTACTTGCATATCCAATGCATCTCCCGGGATCCAGATCTTTCCATCTGCCGTAAGAAAACACTTCTTCTCGGCGCTCCAGGAGGCGTATTTTTCACATGTCGGATGGCCGCGCTGCAATTCTGTGATCGCATTCGCCGTCGGCCACACAAATTCTTCGTTCCGTAAGGGAGACACCAGGACCAGCCTGGATATTCGGGCACTCCAGGACTCCACCGGAAAGCTCTGGTCCGGTGCGGGAGGACTTCCCCAACGGGTCAGGAGATCCGCCCTCAGGTTCCCTCAACAAGTCATCCAACCGAGCAGTCCGTGCATCAGGAGGTCCCCGAACAACTTATCGACCACTCCTTGGCAGCAGACCACCGCATCGGTCTGGCCCATCAGGACGCGGGTCAGGGTCACAGCCCCTACGGGAGTTATGAAGGAAGAACACTCCTGGGAATCCGGGTGTAAGGACAGCTTCCAATACCCCTTCATCCAGTCCAGTTTGAAGTAGACTTTCGAGCCCTTCAGTACGTACAACCATGGCCACCTCCAGATTAGGCATGGACCAGGGCATCGGCTCGGTACACGCATTGATCGGTCTCGAGTCAATCGTCATCCTGAGGTCTCCCGGATCTTTCTTCGGGACAATCCTCGTCGCCGAGGCCCAGCGCGATCTAGAGTTGCGGTACACCAGACCCGCTTCTTCCAGCTCCCGGACATGCTTTTCCAGGAACACCATATGGGTGGGGGGGTTAGCGCTGCAGTCCCGACTTCACCGGCACAGCCCCTTTCTTGAGGTGCACCTTCAATGGGTCTACTTTCATCGGCGGGTCTTTCCCGAACTTCAGCCGGAACACGTCGCGGAACTCCATCAACAGGCCTCGGAGCTGCTCGACAGCTGCTGTTGGCATGCCCGCGGTAGCCGCCTCGGCCATCTTGGCTTCCAGAACAATACGCACCGGACCATCATCATGAGTCGCATTTCCCAGTTCTGGCGTTGCACACGACATCCATTCGTCGTCGTCGATCCCGTCTGACAACTCTCCCATCCGCAGGGTACGGTGCATCGCGAATCCCGGAGTCGTGATCGGCTGATCGCCGAAATCGTATACGACTTGCTTTCGACGTTCAAGGACCGAGATATAAAACAAAAGCAGATTTAATCCGCTTCTTCACGGTGTCCAGAGCCCGGGGATCGACGTCGTAACCTTGCTTGAATCACGCAATCCATTCGCCCTCGGACATGTCTTCGGGATCCTTTCACATGTTCCATTCAGCAATACGTTGCTTCGTCACAGGTTCGATACACGCCCTCACCGGCGTGATGAACGGTCGGACTCCGTTGGCAGTCAGGGCATTCGCCTGGCTGATATACATGTTGTACGCGGACATACAAACGCGTCGTTCTTCCTTAGTGAACGTCGGGCTCTTCGAAAGGGCCGGGGCGTTGCGCAGGTGCACGTCGTTCTGTCCCATATCCAGAGCCGTACCGGATGTACTGCCAAACCCGGGAGCCGCAAACGTCGCCGGTCTCCCGTAACTCCAGGCCTCGTCAACCGCCACTGTTTGTCGCCTTCCATGTTGTGACCGGAACAGCCGCCGCGCAGTTGCACTGGTCCGGGGCCTTCCACGGTCATCAAAACGGTCCACGCGTGGTGTACGGGCCGCAGGACTCGTCATGTGTTCCGACCGGTATCGAGCTTCGACAGCGTCCCTGTGGTCGCTACCAGGTAACTCCAAGTCCAAGGCATGCTCGTTTCCTGTTCAGTCGCTAGCGTGTCTGTAGGACAGCTAAAGAATTCTTTGTTGTCTTGCGCCGGTGTTCACAACCGACGGCTAATGTGTTCACAACGGTGACCTGGATGACAATCCAAAAGTAACTTCATTATCCAGTCAATCAGTCAGTCCCCTCCTTTCACTTCACTACTGTACTCTACAAGCCATGTATCGATACAGTGTACCATCATATACCCATCCGGAACTGGCCATATTTAACACTCCTCAAATGTCGGGTCCTGTTCCGGACCAACATTCAGCTACCCACACTCAGGCACGGGGAGTCGAACAGAGGCTCGGCCGATAACCACTACAGTCGATCCATGAAACCTTGTCGGGAAGCGTGGGACACTTCCACACGCGTATGCAGCAGACATTTTGCCAAATGGGGAGTGTAGTTCTTGAGAAAGGATAAACATGCTTCTTTCCAAGTGTTCTGCAGCGTGCAGAGCAATTGGGTCGCGCGTCGGTTTGACCCATTGCCAACACACACACTGTGTGTCTGCCGTGCCAAAGGTTCCGATACCTTAGTGGATGCACTGAGTACTTTAATGAATGGTAGTCAGTAGGCGCCTCGTGGTGTGTTTGACCTCACTAATGTCAGTGTTATATTTGCTACCTTGACGAAGCTCCCGTAGCCGAAAGCCGAGAAGAAGCGGGAGACAAAACACCAAGTGACCTTTCACAACTTAGGTGACATGGAGACATACGCCAGGAAATGGATATCCAACTTTATTTAAATCCATGATCGTGATTTGTGCCTCAAGGAGATATTGGAGCGACCACCAATAATGTAGGCATGTGTATAGAAAATTTTACAGCTTCGTCACGAATCAAAACACCTGCTGCCGACGAGGTTTGACGTCGTAGCCAGCTCTGGCGAACTGGACCATGGCGTCCATCATAATTTCCAGCATCGCCTCGGGGAATTCAATCCGCATCCCCACATGTGCACGTCGCCCGCACCACCGTTTCCCTCACGGTCAAGTCGTTCGTAAATACGCATTTTTGTTGACTTGGTTCCAGAATGGTAAAACGCCAAAAGCGCATCAAAATAGATATGTATGATGAATTTCGTTCGTCGATGCACCACGATGCGTCACGCTCCACGGCCTGCTGCCTCCGCCACCCAAATCCTCGAACGGGGTTAGAAGTGTTCCCTGAATCTCCACTTCAAGCGCACGCCCCCCCTCTAGCGAGGCCGTCACACCGCCGACAAGGAGAGACTGCTCGTCGCCTGATGCAACAGCGTCAGCCGCGGTGCGTCGAGTTCGAGGCCAAGCCATGGAACAGCTCTACCAAAATCGACTCGAAGCGGGTCGACCCCAGCATTTGCTCAGGCCCTGCATTGTGTGGCTTTTTAGCCCAGTGCACAGTGGAACGCGTCCACCCGCTTGAGCTCACATGAAGTTGTTGATGTGCACCCCAAGTCAAGCGACGTGTGGCAGTACCCCGAACAGCCCCACTCATGCATGTGTATGCCTGGAACGGGAGCTCCAATATCCACTCGAATACCCGTCCTCGTTTGTTGGTTGATGCTCGCCCGCGTCAAGTGTTGGTCGACCTGGCCTCACGATAGCGGTGCCACCAAAGTCCCCTATATATTACACGTTGCCATAACGTTAGTTGGAACTCGTAGACGATATCTGGGCTTGTGCAGTGCATTGGGCTCAGTCTTCTTGCTGGTAGCTGTGCATGTACAAGCTTTGTCGTAGTGGGTCAGTGTACTACATACTGTATACGAACCTGGTATTTGCACCACCAATTCTTTTGCATTCGATGTCATCGTACCAGTCGACTAAAAATGTCAGCGCGAGGTTAGGTTCCTGGGATGGTTATTCCCGACAAATGTCAATGCGTGTACCGGTATGACGTCCCAGGTGAAAAACACCGACCTGTTAACGTTAGTCATTGTTAGAAGTATATCCGTAGTAGTTTAGTCGGTGGGGCGAGTACGACATATGCACGTGGGATAGCACTATCCTCCATCGGTAACGTGATGAAACGTTAAGGAATGCTATTAACTGTGAGCCGGGTATGAAAAACGTTAAGGTCCACCAAAATTCTGATAGAATGGCGCGACATATGCGATGACATACCAATCTCATCAGATGGCTCAAGGACAGCCCTTGAAGTTCAAATTGAAGGTGTTACGAAAAAACTAACCGGCACCTATTTTCACAACTTGTTCGCAAACCTGACCTGGATTAGGGTTATACCGAGCACACGCACGTGAGGCGTAATGTACTTGGAAAGGGATAATTATCTTGCTTGTGGAAGGTCACTTGCAAAGCATGTTTATCCTTTCCCAACAAATACACTCCCCATTTGGCAAAGTGGCTGCTGGATACGCGAGTGGAAGTGTCATTAGGATCCCCACGCCTTCCGACAAGGTTTCATAGATGGACTGCAGTGGCACCTTGGCCACACTATCTGTGCCGCCATATATCAACCCCAACCTTACGAAACCCGATGTCGTGCTCATGCAGTGCGCGTACCAAACCTGTCGGGTAGTTGTATTTATCTCAAGTTCATGACTCAACAACTAACTACCGTAGGCGATTTATTACAAGGCTGATCTCACGTATTCATCGTCGTGTTTGTGTGCGCCGCACACGGAAAACAACACACTTCAACCAAGTCATCGTTTCTTAGTTTTTCCTTACAAATGCACAACGCTACATATTTCCGTATCCATCAACCCTATTCCCACAACAAGCACTTCTTGGACGGGTTTAAGTTCGAGTCGATGGGACATTTGAACACACGGGCAAACTCAGCATCGTTTTGCAACGCCCCCGTCACGCGGAACCGATTGGGCGGGTGGGGGTCCGCCAAAAGCACCTCGAGGTAGGCATCCGTGTACTTGGCGCAAGTGCTTTGGGCGTACGACAAGTAGAACAACTTGTCGCCAGCTTCTTCAGTGTACTGTGACGGGAACTTCTTCAAGTACTCGTGGTACGCGCGGAAACTGGTCTTGAGTCCCCCGTTGTCGGCAATACTCTCACCCAAAGAGAGCTTGCCGCTGACGTTGCCCAACTTAGTGCCAGTCACTTCGCTCTTGACGACAAAGTTGTCGTACTGGTCGCTTATGCACTGGGCCTTCGCCTTGAACGCAGTGTTGGTGGCATTCGACCACCACGACTTCAAGTTTCCGTCGCCATCGAAGTTGCGGCCGATGTTGTCGAACCCGTGGGTAATTTCGTGTCCGATGAACGCCCCGATGGCACCAAAGTTCTGGGCGGCGTCAAACTGGCCGTTAAAGAACGGGCTTTGCAAAATGCCGGCCGGGAACACAATTTGGTTCAAGGAGGGGCTGTAGTACGCATTTACCTCTTGGGGGGACAAACCGAAGTTGCGCTTGTCCACAGGTTGGCCGTTCAGTTTCAAGTTGGTGTCGATGTCCACTTGAGAGATCTTCCAGCGGTTGTTCAAATAAGTCGTTGAGTCCAACGTCAGCGTGGGGTACAGCTGCGGGTTCTCCGGGCCACCCAACAAGTGCTCAAACTTGGACAGTTTCGTTTGCGCATTGGCACGGGTCGAGTTGTCCAACCAGTCGGCGGTGGTAATGCCAGTGGAGAAGGACGACTCCAATGCCTTGACCAGTTCGTCGGCCGTCTTGGCTGTGTCAGCCGACCACACCTCCTCTAAGAAGTACTGGGACAGGAGTTCACCAACGGTTTTATCCACTTGGGCGACGCAAAACTTTTCACGAGTAGGCTCCACCTGTTGACCGGCTAGTCTGCCGATGAAGTTCCAGTTGGCCGTGCGGAATTCAGGGGTCAGGTGCGTGGACGAGGCGTGGATGAGCTTGTACTCTACGATGGTGCGGAGGTCGTCCAACGTCGTGTTCGTTAATAACGCTTCGGCCTTTTCAAAGTAGGTCAAGTCGGTAAACCCCACCCAGTCGTTCGACCCACCGCACTCATCGCGGACGTTGAAGCCGTGGGCCTTGAGCCACGAGCCGATGACGAGCGGGTACTCCTGGTCCAGTTGGTGAAACGTGAGCGCAGTGTACGGAGTCGCAATGGCCTCCATCTCTTCGAGCTTGCTGAGGGAGACACCGGCCAGACTTTGCTCAAAACTAATGATCACCGGCACGGCAGCCGCCGCTTCTTCGGCAGTGTATCCAGCCAACTGCAAAACCGTTGCAATGTACACCTTGTACTTGGCTTCGACAACATCCCATACGAATGGAATGAGGTAGAGAAGATGAGGAAGCGATAAGGGGGTTTGGAAACCGAAGAGGGCGTTGTTGACTGCGTTGGCGTCATCAGCACTAGCCTTGATGTTGACAAAGGCAGGGATGCCGTTCTTGGCCAATTCACCAGCCACGACGAGGAGGTCCAACGTGGTGTTGGCCGACCGAATGGCTTCGAACGAGTCGGCCAACGGTGCCAGGCCGAGCGCCGACAGCGTATCCGTGTCCAAACAGGAGTTGTAGAACTCGCCAAGCTTGGGCTTGTTGTCAGACAAAATCTTCGTCAACACGGCTTGGTTTTGGATGTAAATCTCGGAGAAAACATCGATGAAGGATTCGTCCGGGGGGATCACAGTATCATTGATCCATACGCCACACGCATATTGGTAAAAGTCATCACAGGGGTTTGCGGAGTAGTCGATGAGCTTGGTCACAGACTCGGGGAGGTCCGTGATGGAGCCAGCCATAACGGCAGCGGCCAACGCGCTGAGGGAGAAGAAGACTTTGACCATCGTAGAGCGAATAGGAAAATGAAATCGGCCAAAAATGTCAATCATTGAAGTGAAAACTAGGAGGGCAAGTCGTTCAACCCTGCCAACCGGATTCCCATAAGGAATATCCATGTCCAAGGTGCATCCACCAATCCATCTCGATGAGATATTGACACGTAGACCCATGCACTACAGAGTAGTTGAGATTGGCCTTCATCAGAGTTAGTTCCACTCGTATGATGCCCTATAATATAAACTACCCATTGGCCAATTCCAACTGTATGTATAATGTAATGACGTTTACACGTGCGTATCAGCTATCTAAGGGACCGTCTGGATGCAACCAAATATAATGATATTTCTCAATATTTCGATAAATACGAGATGATTTGAATTGTGTCGTAATGGCGTGTGTGGATACCACTTTGTTCGCAAATTTTATTGTGAAATTCGGCCCAGAAACGCAATAAAAAATATACTACTCGAACTAGTATATTTTGCGAGATATCGCACTGTGCTCCTAAGTTTGTACTTGCCTGTCCTACTGCGTCCATCGTGATGCTCTTGAAACCATATATGCGTGTTAGACGAGATCCAGAACACTGTTCATTCATACTGTGAACGGAGGAATGCGATTGCAGAGAGATTTCGATGGAGTCTTGACGTAGGAGGCCCTTCCACGGCTGTGTGTGCCACTACAGTATCGATACTAAGGTTAGTATTGAAGAGGACTATGTACCTGTGAACTACTCAGCGATCGAGACAGGGTAACCGGGGCGACGTCCCTTGAATTGCAGGGTAGCAGTGGCCCCATCGTAGCGTGCTACCGATGCGCGGATATTCGACGTTTGACAAGAGCATTTTACGTCTTTCTATTTTTCAACTGCAACATTGCAGGATTTTGTTGAATCAGAAGTGGTAACCAGACACTCCATTAATTATCACATAATGAAAATATGTTGTTCGCTGCATTTTGAAAAATGCAAAAAACACAATATTGCAATATCATAATGTTTTTTACGGTCGCATCCAGACTAGCCCTAAGGAATATTTTACGCCCCGCGACCAGCCCCGACAGCCCTGACAGAAATATTCCGAGGTTTTGATTGGTTGTTACCCAAAATATCAGGATAACACAATCGAATACCACGTAACATAGTACATGTAATAGGACACTGTAGTAATCTGGGTACTACTATTAATAGTACGTAGTACTATCATTTAATTGTCCGGAAAACGGGGTAATCGCCAAATATGTGAGTATATCAGAAACCTTGGACAATATGCGAGTCGGTGTACCACGTAGTACTATCATTTGAATGTCCGGACAATGCGAATTGGTGTACTGTAGTTTGCTTGCCAAAAAATAAGGCATATACTTTGACCGGGTACAATTCCCTCATTAACACAGTATTTGGGGTCAAAACAACAGTAGTACTATAAAACAGCCCCACTGTTGCATCAGCTGGAGTAACTGTTCAAGTAAGAACAATTCCCTCATTAAAACAGGTCCACTGTTGTTTTGACCCCAAATACTGTGTTAATGAGGGAATTGTACCCGGTCAAAGTACATGCCTTATTTTTTGGCAAGGAAATTACAGTACACCGATTCGCATTGTCCGGAAATTTAAATGATAGTTCCACTGTTGTTTTGACCCCAAATACTGTGTTAATGAGGGAATTGTAAACTGAAACCCCGAAACCTCAGTGTCATTTGCGCCGTTGAGACGTTCGCCCATCGTTATGGTTTTGCCCAGCTAGTACCGTGTTTCTCGAAGTTGAAAAACGCCAAGCTCCAAAAGCTCCAAATGTTGTTTTCGGCGCCCTTTTGGACGAAATACGGAGAGCAGGCGCTGTGTGACATCGTCAACGTTGACGAAACTGCGGTGAACTACGACATGCCGCCAAGACGAGTTTGGTGTGAAATTGGTGAAACGTCGGAGGTCGAAGCCAAGGATAAACATTCCGATCGGCTTACAGCGGTGTTGGCAATTTGAGACGATGGTTTGTTGCTTGAATATGTTGTATATATTTGATTGATAATTGTTCATTATTATTGAGTTTATGTATTCTGCTATTTCTATATTCTATAATTTTATAATCTACTTGTAAATTCATTATTGTAAATTTTACGTTGTACTTGTAAACTCCTTTGTGTATTTGTTTTGGTTTGTGGCATATTTTTCAAACTCGAAATCAATAATCTTCGAGTACCTCGCTAAAATTATTTTGTGAATTGACAGTGTGAGTATTTGTCATTTCTTTATTGAGTAAATTGCTGTTAGCACAACATTAATGATGGTATTGAGTTTCTGGAGCTCACATAAGATTTTGAGTCGAGGTTCATTGTTTCCTGCTGAAATTGCGATGCCTATCGTCATATTCAATCTAACGACATTATTTAATATAGGAACAAAGTTACCGATTCTTTAGTGTGCGGGACTCCAGGCGGTGCAAGTGAGTCGGAAGAGCTGCCGACGTATCCTCCTGGGCATGTCTACGCTGTCCAGGAGACGGTGTGGATGGATGAAAGTGTTTGGATATATAATATGAACGAACTTTGAAGTTTGAATTAATTGGCCTCTCTGTCGTTTAGGTCGACAACCTGGCGTCTCATGTCTCTCGTGCGTCGTACAAGACTGTTGACCGGTAGCTTTTCGGCTTTCTGGAGCCGCTGCCGCCCAACTCAACGAGCGTGATCCAACCACTGGATGTCGGTGTCATGGGCCAATTGAAGTCGAAACTGCGTACAAGGTGGCTTCAAGAGACCCCGGTCATCACCGCTGCTGACAAAAGAAGAAAGATGATTGAGAGAACCATCAGCGCCTGGGAATCTATTTCTTAATCAACGGTGAAAAAGTCGTTCGAAGAGGCTCTACCTCGAATTTTTCAAGTTGGATAATATATTATCTGAGTACATAATGAATATTTTTAGCATAGGATTCGCAATCACATGGGGTGAATGCTATAAGGTAGTGCATCGATTTTCTGGACGGTTTCTGATCACAGTATTGGTCATCTTTCAAACCTTCATAACTTCGCTGTCATATCGAATTTTTATATTCTACCATTATGGCCTTAATATATAATTCAAGCAGAATATTATGGTGTCAATCCAAATGTGAAAAGAAACACTTCATGATTTGTAGGCAATTTAAATAAAGCAAATAAGAAATCTCATGACTTTATAACGACATCCAAATGTGGACGGCCAACATACCTGACATTTGTAAACTGTTAATATAATTTACATTAAAATACTTCTGATTTCTAAGTACCAAACTATAAAATTGCCTACGGCGAAAGCAAAACATATTCACAAAATATAAAAGAATGAATGAATAAAAATTCAATATTGACATTTGTAAACTGTTAATATAATTTACATTAAAATACTTTTGATTTCTAAGTACCAAACTATAAAATTGCCTACGGCGAAAGCAAAACATATTCACAAAATATAAAAGAATGAATGAATAAAAATTCAATTGGACTTTTTGCGCTTAACATTTGGCTTTCTGGTTGGCTTGGAAGCGTTGGTGTGCAAGCCTTCCTTCGTGAAGAAGTCGCCATCAGTGACAACACGCTTTCTCGCCTTCTTCGGTGTTCGCGCAGGTACGGTAATGACGTTCTCACGTACATGCTCTTGAGTTCTGATCCAGGCGGCTGCACCAAGGTCACTATTGACACAGTTCTTGGACTGCAAGTCGAGACGCTTCAACATGGCGGGCAACGATAACGGCCAGGCACCACAGGTACGAAAACCGTTCTTGAACATGCCTCCAGCCTGGCAACGGTCGTGCTGAAAGTCGTGACTGATCAGTTTGTTGAACGCAGTGTCTGCAATAGAAATCGCCTTCGATCGCGGAAAGGTGTCAGTGTTCACTGCGCGCAGGTACGTCGTCACAGCTGTCTTCATGTCGCATTTGAATGTGCGAAATATTACGGCGTCCAACGGCTGAAGCAAATGCGTCGCGTTTGCAGATAAGGAGACCAACATAATACCATACGCTTCGCAGATCATCTCACTGTCTATGCCGTGATGAGAAGAGTAATTGTCTAGGACAAGTACGGCAGGTCTAGCGGCATGGCAGCGAAGCTTCCACTCTTCGAAGGTAATGAGCCAGTTGTTGAAGATGGCTGAGTTCATGAACGCTTTAGGAGCCGTGGTCACAAGTGCGTCATCGACAGGACGCTCGTTCAAGACAGTACTCTCGCAGGACTGTCCAGGGAGAATGAACGCCGGGGGAACGAGGGTGCCGTCGGGTGCAGCAGCCACGACAAAGGTGAGGTGGTACGGTGGGGTATATTTTTTATACCAAAGTTCTTTGACCCGCGAATGGCGACGACTTTCTTGTTTTGGGACTTGTCTTGAAGCTTGTTTCGTCCATGTTGTAGACATCCGCCGCGGTGCACGAGAATCCCAGAGTGCCTTTGATTAGCGAGTTAAAGTAATGTATTATATACCTTCTTTGTTAACTGCGTTGCGACTCTTTGTCAGCTTCTGTACCACGCCGTCAGCAATGATGGGGTTGCGTACAAAAAACTTCTGGTAGCATCCACGAGTAACGTTCCGTGGAACGCCATGGTATACAGCCAAGATCGCGTTCGCCTTGTGGATGACTTCCCCTCGCTCAACCGGCAATCCACGACGTTGCATCGCAGCGGTCCAAGCAACAAGGTCCTGCTCAATCGATGAGGGGAGAGCTTGGTGAGGCCCTCGCTTGTTGATGGAAATGGCGCCAGTGTCCTTCTTCATCTTGATGTAGTGGAACAACGTGGCCCTGGAGACAGCAGAGCTCCGGACGACAGCCGCTTTGGACTCACCAGCTTCGACGCGCCGAATCGCATCAAGGATTTCTTGATACGTGGCGGGCATGTTTTAAAATGGGAAAGTCAAAAATCAATGAGTATTTTTATTCAATTGGCGCGAAAAAGTTGCGCATTGAAACAGTATTTCAGGTCAAACAGACGAGCATGTCTTTTGGACTGTTCCAAGTGCAGTGTGAGGTTTTGTACGAACTGCTTTTCGTTATAATACCCAGAGTGTCGGTGTGGAGTTTTCGGACGCAGCAATCGGCAGACCAAGCGACACAGGCATTCCTTGGGGGTAATGTAGACGTGGGCAGCGTAGACGCTTGCCATGCAAGGTGTTGCTGAAGCCATATCGCCCACGACTCAGGGACGATGGAAGGAAAGTCGCCTACATTGACTCTTCTCACGTTCAACCACAAAATCATTTTTATTACGAGAAATTTTTAAATTTGTCCTAAATCAGACAACTGAATTTCTTTCAGCGACAACTGCCTGTGTATGTTTCTCGAATATTTTTCTTGTAACGTTAAAAAGAACAAGGTTGCTCCAGCTGAACCGCTCTGATACGTACCGGTAGTGACCACTTACGAATTCTTTTAGGCCGTGTTCGGAGCAAAAATAGATTCTGACTCCAGAATCCGGATTCCATCGAATGTCTATAAATAACTCAATGGAACACGATTATCCTTGCATGACCTCAACATATTGGTTTCAAAGCCGTGGTCTACAATGGCGAATCCTACGAAGTCAGCAAAGTGGAACCGAGAGCTCGAAATAGAGTTCATAGCCCTGGTGCTCGCTGCTAACACTGTAACGATGGCAAGGTTGCCGACCAAGAATACAGCTTGTCGCATCGTTAACAAAACGATGGCAAAACTGTCGAACAAGCTAAAGATTGTCGCACCATTAACGGGCAAGGCCGTTAAAGAAGCCGTGGAGAAAAACATTTACTTGATGTAGTTTAGTATAGTATACATTTTCGTAGTTAGTAGTTTAAGACGGCAATGTAATCACTTTCCAATTTACTCTGTGAAGCTCTCTACCGTTACATTTGGTAGCACTTCCTGATTCAGTTCAGTTCAGTTCGGCAGCAAGGACTTTCACCGAGGGGCATAGCTTGGAGGTTGTAAGGATACTCAATCTATTTCAGGCAAAGGTTCAAGGCGACCTTTCATAGCGAATAGTGTCGAGGTAGCGATCGCCTAAGTGTTTCGTTTTCCTCGACAATACTCCCCTTAGTATCCGACATCAGAGTCGGTTGGGGTAGAGTCGACCGTTAGGAAAAGGACATTTGGTGCATGTGAAGATTAACTGCCAACGAAACCCGTGCATGGGATAGTTGACGCGCATTTGTTGCCGAGACCGAAGATCGAAGCGAAGAAGCCAAATGTCGACACTAAAGAAGGCTTAGTTGATTACTCAGCGAGCCTGTAATAAAACCTTTTTTCCAATCGAAATCATGGAGGAAGTGTTTCCGAGGCTAGTTGGGACTATGGGACATCAGCAGCAGATGATCCAACAACTGCTGGAGGCCCAAACCCAAGCACAAGCGCAAGCGTTGGCATATCAACAAGCGCAACAGGAGAATCAACTGAAGGCGCAGCAGGACATGCAAGCAGTGCTACTACAATATGTGTCTAATAATGGCGATAAGGGTGAAAGCCAACTACGTGACACTGAACGGCGTGCCGAGGGACTCTCAATGCCAGCGTACCATGGGCATTTGAACGGGAGCATCGGGTTATACATCCATCGAGTCAAGACGTTTTTTGCGGCGAAGAACTTGAAGTACGAAACCTACGAAGCAGTTGAAGCACGCTGTCTAGCGATGGTTGTTGTGAATCTTCAAGGGCAGGCAGCTGCGTGGTATCAAGAGCTAGCGTCGCAAGGTCATGGGTTTACGACACTCGCGGAGTTTGAACACGGTTTGCGTGAAGAGTTCGATCCGAGTGATCTACAAGAGCGGCTACACGACCGTCTGTTTGCGTTGTAGCAGAAGGGGTGCAAAGACTTAGTCGAGTACATCGAGAAGATCCGTCGTGTTTGCACGGATGTGCAGGAGATGTTAGAGCTGGACAAGATGACGTTCTTTATTCGAGGGTTAAAATTGAAGACCCGCGAGGAAGTGAAGTACCGTCAAAGTAAGACCTTGTTTGAAGCGATCAAGGCGGCGTTGGAGTATGAACGTGCCAATTCTGTTTCACTCTCGTCGATGAAGCATCCCGACAAGCCGAACCGATGGAATCGGACGGACTATGGAAGCGGCCAGCGTGAAGGACATGTACCGCGTTTGGAGTCGCAAGTGTCCACAGACATGGAAGTGGACAATGTCAAGATGCAAGGCAGTCGGAGGAAGGACAGCAGCAAGATTCGCTGTTACAACTGTCAGAAGTTGGAGCATATCGCGACAGAATGTCGGAAGCCCAAGAAGAAGATATCAAGGCAGGCACCACCCAGCCCAGGAGCAAGTGTCGAACGATGATGTTGAGTGCATCTCGTTTGGAGTCGTCAAGGAAGTGAACGACGACAAGGGGACTGTTCAAGTGGAACCCGAAGCTGGAAAGAAGTCACCAGCGTTGATGATTAAGTCGGGTGTAATGAATGGAAAATCTGTGAAAGTGTTGTTGGATTCTGGAGCGACGCATTCACTTTGTCGAGTTGGGTTGGGAACCAACGTCATTCGCAACAAGTCAGTCCGCATTGCTGCGTATGACAACGTGTGGTCGGTCACCTATGACGAATAAGCGAGATGTCATGGAAACGATCATGGTCGACAAGTTCTCATTTAAGGGCACAGTAATGACAGAGTGGGACTTGAAAGACTAGGACTTTTTTGTCAACAAGTTCAAAGCCAAAGGATGGGTTGAGTTGTCAACGAGCGATTGGGTGTCGAACATCTTTGGAGTGCCAAAGAAGGATGAGAATGGTAAAATGCCATCTCGTCACGTGTGGTTGAAGACAGCAACCGCGAACACTCCAATTCGATGGGTGCTCGATTACCGGCATGTCAACTCCCAGTCTGAAATCCCTGCTTCACGGTCGATGGTGTACGCACAGGCGTACAATTCGACTTCCACGCCAGCGTCAACGAGCGAGGAACTTCCCACTTCTTGCGTACATGAAGCTGACTGCAGACACGAAAAGATAACGAAACGGAACAGCCACGTCAGGGCAGCACTTTGAAAGAGAAAGTAGAAGTGAGCTAGCATGTCGTCCACGCTGGTGCGGTAGATGAGGTATTGCCCCGTAGAGATGACCATGAAATGGACATAATCAAGTATCCCTGAGACAGGGTAAATCCTTCGTGTATTAGTATCGACCAGACATGGCAACCATGTTGGTGCAACGCGAAGGTAGGCGGTCGAAGACACGACGACAAGCGCTACAACGTGCATCATCTCGAGAAAGAGAAGGGACAGGTGCATGCTTACATCATGCTACAATTGACGGAAATTGTAAACGTGCGTGCGTAGAGGAAGGCACAGTAGTTGGTAAATTGAAAAGTGAAATGATAGCGTTATAGTAATCTAACGCTACGGCTAAGCTAAGCAGGACCAGTCATCTTGAGCTGGTAAACATAAAGGGCCGGGAAAGGTCCGAATCAAAGCGGCGTCGTTGGGCGCTCTTGGTCGCTCATGGGTTCGGGTCTGACTTTGTCTTCAACCTGTGTGGCGTGAGCCACGTGGATACGAATCTTGTATCCGGAACGGTGACATCCTCCCTCATTCAAACGAGAATATGGGAAGATGCGAATCAACTGGCGAGTGGTTGATGGCCGTTGGTCGTTGGGAACTGCGATCGTCAAATTCAGCCATCATGGGCGGCATTCTTTAATTTGACAGCATGGCCGACGACCAGCCGAAGCAGTCCAAAGAAGTTGACTTGACGGGCGACGACTCAGACAGCGATAAGTACTTATTCGCGGGGAGCCAGCGGCTGTGAAGATCCGCTACTTGACCTGTTCATGAAGAAGGAAGAGCAGCGAATCGATGCGGAGCATCAGGCAGCTGCCGACTTGGTTGAAACGGCGCTCCGCACGGTGGGACCCATGGCAGTGCGGGAACTCCTGCGAAATGAGATCGTGGAAGGACGACATACGGCTCCAGCGGGAGATGGAGCAGGCAGCCGAGCAGTCAAAGGCCTAGTCGATAGCCGAGGTCGAAACGGGGAAGACAAACGCGGGAGCGACACCCGCGGTGGTACAGGTGCAAGAGGCGCCGGTTGGGCAGGCGGCGCCAGATGTGCAAGCCTCGCCGAAGATCAAGATCAAGGACGAAGGAGTTGGGCAAATGGCGGTCGCGAATGGACCGCTCGGGATGCGCGAAGTGCGGTTAGAGGATGTCCGCGCCCTGAAGCTGCACGAGCAGGACGATTCTGTCATCGGCGTCTGCTTGGACTAGATCAACGGCAGAACGCACCGTTTGCGGGTGTTGCAGCAGTTGGATTCGCGGCTGCAGGAATGGGGATGGACACCGGCGTTGTGCGAGCCAGTGGAGCGATATCTCACTCTGTTTTGCCGGAGTGGGTTGTTCGAGGCCCAGATGATGTGGCTGGTGTGTGCATTGCAGCACATGACGATTTTGGAAATTCCCTTGACGGAATTTGTGGACTGGAAGGACAAGATACGCGAGCGCATCTCGGACTGAAGCTACGACGCGCCGCGAGTCGTACGGCACCAAAACCAAACGATGTTTGAATACATCATTGTGTTCGTCTTGGTGTTGTTGAAACGCGAGCGAAGTGGGAAGCGGCGGCTGGGCCAATTGCCGCACAACATGGGGCTGTTGGCGAACGGAAGGACTAATTTCGCCTTGGTTGGAGCAGCGAATGGGCAGGTGCCCGCCGAGATAGTCTCCCGGCTCACAGTCCGCGTTCGAATGCGGCGCGCTCTTGAGGTAATGACGCTCTTGTCGCTGCGTCTGATCTCCATGTTATAGATGGCCCGTCTTGGACCAAGTACTGGCGGCTTGCGGTCGCCCAACGTGCGCCAAGCACTGCCGGGTTTGCGATGGGGTCGAGACCGACTCCGAGCGGGGTGCCGGTGAAACGGGCGGCGGCAGAGGCGACTCGTGAGTCGAAGCATCTTGCGGGGCTTGTGCGCCGCAGTCCATGGTATGTGGACCCAAGGGGAGCCCGGATGACGACCGGGCCGCCGGACGCGGATACTATGCGGCTCCATGTTGGAATGGCCGCGCCTATCGGCTAAGATGCTGGAACGGTCCATGCCATCAATGATGACACCCTTGCGGGGGATTGGCGTTTGAGCTGGGATGGTGGCGGTGTTCAGGTTGTTGAAGGCGTGAACAATACGCCACTTGCCGTTGGGCTTCTTGATACTGAAAGTAGGGCTACTGTGCGGCGAAATTCTTTCGCGTCCATGTCCGGCGGCTTTACGCGCCGCAAAGAACCTGCCGATGGCTTCCACTTACTCGCGGGGAAGCGGCCACTGCCACGTGACACAGTACTTCGTGCCCGGCAGGAGATCGATCTCGTGTCGTATGCCTTTGTCGACAGGGAGACGGCTAGGAACTTCGTCAGGGAAGACGTCCGCAAACACGGGGAGAAGGTCGAAATACGGGTTCGTACGGAGGGAATCCCACGTCGTCTGGGATTTCGCTGGCGGTAGTAGAACCGAATCGTCCGCCGTGAACGTCGAAAGGAGATCCAATTCCTCGTCAATGGTTATCATAGCGACACCCCGGATCTCTTGGGCATAGAGGGACGCGACAAACGCGTTGAAACGCATCTCCGGCAATGCTAGGATCTCGGAGGATGTCCGAGGCAACTCGTCCAAGTTGCACGCTTCACAAACAAGCGTATCGACGGCGATTATCCGGAACGATAGCGGGCTAGGGACGGCGACGGCAGAGCGCGACTCTGCCGTCGATAACAGGGGTCGACACAGGAGCCGAGACTTGCGAGCCAAGCGGTTAGGGTAGATATTAGACTCTACACAATCGATCAGAACAGTGAGTCTGACAGGGAAGACAGGCACGAAAAGGGAAAAGCGCAGCAGGCCGCCTCGCGCCTACTGGGAACGTCCATTTTCCGCCCCAGCGGGGTTCTGGAAGAACGGGACTGGAGACGCCATGGACCGCGCGAAATGTGGTTAGGGGGACCGGAGGAGGTGTGCTGGGGGCGCAGGCGGTCGGGATTCATGCGGTCCGGACTAATTACGGTAAACGGTGTACCGAAAACTCTAATTTCCTTACCCAACACGTTCACGTGCTGACGCCATGGCTACGTACTGTATACGAAGTACGCATCTATTACATACTAGTATAAGCTATCAGGATACAAAGTTTGTTACCCTGACAAGTATCCGAATATATCACGCATGCGAAATGTCTCCATATGTAGCTCGAAGTCAAGTGGCTTTGCCACTTGCACAATCAAAGCATAGATGGAATGTACCGGTATGGTGGTAACGTTAGGAACATTGAGGCAGTGCCATGCGAAATGAAGACCAAGGCTTATGAGCTCTACCTTTGAGTGTGTGTTCTATACCCCCTGCACCCACCCGCGGCCTATCCTGTGATGCTGGCATCACAGGCACTCAGCAACCGAGACTACAGTTCGGAATTGTATTAATAACATTAACCTCAGCTTACTGTTAACAGTGGTAGGCGTCATCGAGGGGACTTTTACCTGAAACAAATACCAGTACTACTGTAGTATGCCACAACAGACTTGAAATAACGTTAACGTTACGTCAATCTAATCTGCATTACGCGCTGAATCGAACTGTGCAATCAAATGACCTTGAAACGTAGTACTAGTACTACGTAGTACATTGCAAGCTATCGTACCCAGAAGTCATGAATGACTGTCCATTTCCATTGTGTGTTTCTATTACCTCTTATATATAGTATTTACTGGAGTTCTGAAAACTATAATATTTAAAGGGTTGCGTGTCTATGTGCACTTGAGGATATCCTGTCATTCTTGATGCACTCGACAACCAACAATTGACATCACCAAGGAATAGTTCGACACCATCAACGCCTCTGTCAAGAAGGAGCGACCATGTAGCCTAACTAAAGAACAGCGTATTGACATTCTACGACTTCACCTCGAGGGCTTGGAGGATTGAAAAATTTGTAATGGATGTATGCCACTTCCAAAACTTTATACATATTGTTGAAGTCCTCTCGATGCCACCCAAAAAAAAAACCCAACGGATTAACTCGAATATGAATAAATCCCTCGTTAGCACAGATCCACTGTTGTTTTGACACGAAATACTGTTTCACAATGAGGGAATTATTACATCCGGATACACCTTTTCGCCAGTAGCCCTGTAACCTGGGACTCCGTCCTACCCCCGGTGAGTACATACGATGCTAAATCTCCGGTTAAGTGCATTTCAGTGGTTAGCTATCGCTAACCACTAGCGATGCTGGTGGTCTGAGCATACAAAGTTCAAGTATTTCGGGTCAAAACAAGAGTGGAACTGTTTTAATGAGGGAATTGTACACTCGAAGGTACTACGTAGTAGATAGATAGTAACGTTAGGTGGAATTTGCCAATACTGGGACCAAACAATTCGAAGAAGATCGGTCGAAGCACGAGGTATGAGCGAAGTAAAAACCGAAGATTACACACCGCCCCTAGTCCAGCAGGCGCGTTACAATTGGCGAAGCGGTTCCATAACATGTGGTTCTAGTGTCGGCCCTCGCGGAGGAATGTCTTAAAAATGATAATCCAAAACTCAATTAACCAAGCACATATGGTTTGAATGTAATTAAGACTGCGTCAATATTTGCGCCTCAGAGCATTAGTTTATAGTAAAGGGCACTATACGACTGGAACTACATGTATGTACTGATCAAGGCCAATCACAACTACTTGGTGGTGCATGGGTCTACAATGTACGAGTACTGTCTTCAATCGAGATGGATTGGTGGATGCACCTTGGTCATGGATACTAGTACATAGTATCCGGTTGGTTGGGATGAACGACTTGCCCGCCTGGTTTTCACTTTAATGGTCGACACTTTTGGCCAACTCCATTTTCCTTTGCGGGCTACGATGGTCAAAGTCCTCGTCTCCTTCAGCGCATTGGTGGCAACCGCCACGGCTGGCTCCGTCACGGAACTCCCCGAGTCTGTGACCAAGCTCATCGACTACTCCGCAAACCCTTGCAACGACTTTTATCAATATGCGTGTGGCGCGTGGCACAAGGATGCTGTGATCCCCCCGAACAGAATGAATATCGGCACGTCGTTCGTCAAGATCGCCATCCGAAGCCAAGACGTGTTGACGAAGATTTTGACTGACAACAAGCCCAAGCTTGGTGAGTTTTACAACTCCTGTTTGGACACGGCTACGCTGTCGTCGCTCGGCGAGACTCGGTTGAAGGACTCGTTCGAAGCCATTCGGTCAGCCAACACCACGTTGGACCTCCTCATCGTGGCCGGTGAATTGGCCAAGAACCTGCCTTTATCGATATCAATGCCAGAGCTGATTACGACAACCCAACCAAGAACGCCCTCTTCGGCGTCCGATCCCCCCTGTCGCTGTCTCGCGGGTACTACCTCTTCACTTCCGAGTGGTCGTACTTCAAACCCAAGTACGAGGTGTACATTACGTAGGTGTTGAAGTTGGCTGGCTACACTGCCGAACAAGCGGCGGCTGCGGTGCCGGTGGTCATCCGCTTCGAGCAAACTGTAGTCCATTTCGGCCTCAACGAAATTCTCGACGAGATGGAGGCCGCTGTGTCTCCGTACACTGCGCTCACGTTTTACCAACTGGACCAGCAGTACCCACTGCTCATCGGATCATGGCTCAAGGCCAACGGCTTCAACGTCCACGACCAGTCCGGTGGGTTGAATGACTGGGTGGGTTTTTCCTACTTGACCTACTTTGACAAGACGGAAGCGCTGTTAAAGAACACAACTTTGGATGACCTCCGCACCATCGTGGAGTACAAGCTCATCCACGCCTCGTCCAACCACTTGACCCCTGAATTCCGCACAGCCAATTGGAACTTGTTCGGCAAGACGATCAATGGCGAAAAGGAGGAACCTACTCGTGAAAAGTACTGCGTATCTGAGACGGGCAAGACCGTGGGGGAACTCTTGGACCAGTACTTCTTAGACGCGGTGTGGTCGGCTGATACAGCCAAGGCGACCGACAAACTGGTCAAGGCCTTGACGTCATCCTTCTCCACTGGCATTGCCACCGCCGACTGGTTGGACAACTCGACCCGCGCCAACGCGCAATCGAAGCTGTCCAAGTTAGTGTATTTGATGGGTGGCCCAGAGAAGCCCCAGTTGTACCCCACGCTGACGTTGGACTCGAAGACGTATTTGAAAAACCGCTGGAAGATCTCTCAAGTGAACATCGACACCAACTTGAAACTGAACGGCCAACCTGTGGACAAGCGCAAGTTCGGCGTGCCTGCCCACAAGGCGACCACGGACGACAAAGCCGAAATGAATCAATTTGAGCTTCCTGCTGGCATCTTGCAACCTCCGCTCCTTGATGTCAAACACGATGCCGCCCAGAACTTTGGTGCCATCGGGGTTGTCATCGGACACGAAATCACCCACGGGTTCGACAACTACGGCCGCAATTTCGATGGCGACGGCAAGTTGAACAATTGGTGGTCGAGCGCCACCAACACTACGTTCAAGACGAAGGCCCAGTGTATTAGCGACCAGTACGCCAACTTTGTTGTCAAGAGCGAAGTGACTGGTGCGGTGTTTGGCAACTTCAGCGGCCAGATCTCTTTGGGTGAAACTATTGCGGACAACGGGGGGCTCAAGACCAGTTTTCGTGCGTACCACGAGTACTTGAAGAAGTTTCCGTCCCAGTACACGGAAGAAGCAGGCGACAAGTTGTTCTACTTGTCGTTCGCCCAATCCTGGTGCTCCAAAAACACGGATGACTACCTCCTCTGGAATATGAGGAAGAAGCACCCGCCCAATCGGTTCCGCGTGATTGGAACGACGCTAACTTTGCCCGAGTGTTCCAGTGCCCCACCGACTCACCGACTCGTACATGAACCCTTCCGAGAAGTGCTCGTTGTGGGAATAAGGGTGAGGGTGATGGATACGAAAATATGTAGCGTTGGGCATTTATAAGGAAAAACTAACAAACGATATCTTGATTGTAGTGTATTGCTTTCCGTGCGCGGCGCACATAAAAACTACAATGTACCTAGTAAAGGAGCCCAACGCACGGCGGATTTGCGCACAAGCGACGATAGGCCGACGCACGGCAGTAAAGGATTTCCTATGAGACTCAGTCATAACACAGCCACTTACAAGGACAGCATCAGTGCAGCAGGGTACGAAAGGGGCTTACCTCGTGTTGTACATGACGTCGGCGTTCGGCGGGAGTGGCGCAGTGCTGGATGCTCCTTTCTGACTGTGAATGAATGAAACCGTCGATCGCCAGCGAGCAGCAAACGCTGTTGGTCGAAATAGATCACGTGGAGGGTGAAATATATTGACGAAAACTGAAATTGTACGATAGTTGGTTGACATCATACCGCTGGCTCGGTGAAATATAAACGTGCAGATTGAGGGGCCACGAAATTAACAAGCTTGGCCCATGTGATTACTTGGTTTATGCCAAGATGCAAAACTTTTTGGGTGTCTCCACTTTTACACTAGTAATGCTGTTACGATGTGCTCCCAGACATGACGCCACACCCAATCGGTTCAAATCATTTTAATCCGTTCCTAAATGTAGATATGGAGTTGTTGTCGTCAATCGTTCGTTTAGACGACCAAGGTCGTGGGCATGTGCGACGGCACCGAGCCCAGCATCCACCAGAGTGCCCACAACGCCAAGAATAACTGGGCGCGCCACTACCTATGTACTGTATGACCATCGCCCAGGCTGAAGCGTGCGGGTAGGAGCAAGGGGTCGCATTCTACTACTGTAGCTCACAACCAAATAGTGCAGCCTGCAGCTAGCAATGTAGCAACGAGAATGAACGATCCTATTGACCAGTTATTTCACTTTTCTATCATATAATTGGACAGAAATTTGGTGCCTTACGAATTCATCAATACTCTTAGAGCATCTCCACCGGTTGGGACTTTTGACCAGGCTTTATACGGATAATGCTCGGATAAATGAGAGACTTATGCTGATTCCAGCGACCCACCCGTCAGACTTATATGCACGGGACGAACAGGGACTGTGAAAGTGATAATGATGAGTGCATTTACATCAACTAACCGCTTCCGCGACCCGTCGCATTCCATTATAGACCGAACTCGTTAATATTTATAGCATAGGGCGCTAGTTACGAGCTACGATGACGCGAAAGTCGTGTGCTTTCGCATTACCTACTGCTACGTGGAGCTTCATTACAGTATACTGGTAGAGATTAAGCGTACTGCCAACATCGTCGTGATGCCACTGGCATAAGCGAGAAAACTAGGTCACCAGTGTTGAGGGAAAAGTGCAACCACGCGCCGGGCGCGGCAGACGCGAAAAGCAGCCACTGCGTGGACAGGCCTAACCCCGCCAGCGCCAACAAGAAAGTGATCGAGTACCTGCGATGGAGCGTGGTCATCGGGTCCGACTCGGTTGGTCCGGGATCGGTCACGCACAAGATGCCGATGAAGGACACAAACGACACGGGGGACTCGATCGCGCCTTCCTTGTCGAGGGAAGTGGTGCCGATGATCTCGGCCGCGACGCTCTCAAACAAACACGTCAGCGCTGCTCCCAACGCAGTCGACGACCATGTCCCCAACCAAGTC